GACCAGGAATAAACCCTGGTGTCTTTGGGCTGCTTCCTTGGCTTAAACAGCTTTTCTGACCTTGCGTTCCCAGTGGCCTTCAGAGCCTGCCCCCCCCCCACCCCAGGTGCTCTGGTAAACCATCCCTACTGAAATAACAGCCCAGGTGTGTAGTGTTTGCTGATTTATGTGGGGTAAGTGTTTACATCCTGTTTTTTATTGCTCTACCAGTGGCTGAATAACTGGCCTGAATATTTGGGCACCATCTCTCCTGGCCCTTGATGAGTGGACACTAGCCCATCTCTACCCATCATATGAGTGGTCACTCAGACCCCACAGGGAATCAGTCATGCAGAAGGCTAAGTGCTATTAGATCTCCCACAATGATCATGAAGAGGACACAGAGAAGGAAGATGTGTGTGAGCGTAGAATGGGTCTCTCTAAATGCTCAAGGCCCAGACCTCAGACTTCCTCTCTCATCAGATAAGTAATCAGCCCCTTAACCCGAAATAGACAGTTGTTTTCGTGATGGTGATACAAATGTCCCTTATTTTCACACAACCCTGCCTGGCCTGTGAGCTGCTCCTGACAGTATTACATAAAAGATTATCAGAAGCTTGCCAGAAGGGCCTGGAGAATAGAGACCTCACTTTGCTGTGCACTCAAGTCTAAGAAGAACTTCCTGCATCCCCACAAGTTGCTCTGTGTCTGAACAACGGGGCACCTTGACTGAGAACCAGCCAGGTAGCAAAGAAGCTATTTCCCAATCCCAAGTGCGTTCAGCAATTCCTGATTCTATTAAGGGGAGAAACTTTGCAAATGGGAACAAAATTACCCCAAGTCAGCACAATTTCAAGCAAGCGAACCTCAGACCTCTGCTTATAGCTGCAGGCCAGCCTCCTCGAGACGGTTTTCATCAATGATGTGGAGTCTGGAAAACACCCTTGAGAATGCATGCTGTTTTAGTCCATCGAGCCTCAAGTCTCTTCATCTGTACATCTATAACCCCAGCACTTGTCACCCACCATGTGTCAGCCCAGGGCCTTACAACGAAGAGCAAGATAGTCTTCACAGTATTTACAAAAGACCTTAGGGATAAGGGAAGTGCTGTTAGCCTCCTCCACAAAATGACGGCAGCTTGCCGCCACAACTCACTGTCCTGGAGGAAAGGTGCTCCGATACCGTAAATCCACAGAAGTGAGGGGAGCTGGGGACGGCACAACACCAACACAGGTTTGGAGGTGAAAGTCAGAGACATGGGTGGTAAGGAAATGAAAGAGCTAAATTCTAACGGGTGGGAGGGCAGCTGGAGAGATGCTCAGCAGGTAAGAGTGCTGGCTGCTCTTGTAAAGGACCCAGGTTCAGTTCCCAGCACGCATATGTTTACTAACAACCATGGTAATTCCAGTTCCAGGGGATCTGACGCTCTCTTCTGGCCTCCATGGGCATTGCATGCCATGGTTGTACTTACATACATGCAGGCAAAGCAGTCATACACAGAAAATAAAATAAGTAAATAAAAAAATTAAGTGGTAGAAGGGAAGAAAAGACTCAGAAATTGGAAACTTCAGTCACTTCTGAAAGGGACGGAACAAGAACAAAGTCATTGATCCATGTTCTGTGAGCCTAACAAAGTACCTGAGGGTGGGAGTAAAGAAACGGGTTTATTTAGCTCCAGGTTCTTGCTGTACACTGGCAGGTGCTGTCTCAGTGACAGTATTGCTAGAGAGTGAGAGGGACCACACAGAGGCAGCTGGGCCCTGTGTGAACCACTTTACTCCCCCCCAGGAGGTCCCGTCGCCTTAATGTCTCCACACTGAAGACTAAGGTCCCAGCACCATTGGAGACACACATCATATTGAAACAGTAACGGGCTTAAAAGAGTAATCATCCAGAAGGCTGTTCAAGGGATAGGCAGAACCAGTGTAGGTCCCTCGGCACAACCAGGGAACCTCTAACTGCTCCTCCTACAGTCTGACAAACCGTGCAGATGCTTCTGAAATGCAGGGTCTTGGGAGCCAGGGCAGCTGGCACTGTGCTGCATGGGATGATGAAGGAAGCAGGAGCTACCTATTAGGTGCTGAGGCCCACAGTCTCCACCCCTCCTCTTCCACCTAGGCCTTCACTCCAGCTCTGAGCAGGTAAAAGTCCTTGTCAGGGAAACTGACCAGCACAAAGGTGCTGTCCTAATTTCACAGTTGATAGACCTCCTCATGCTTAGAACTTCCCAGCAGATAGCTAGATTTGTAGATGGCAGGAAATCCTGCAATCAGGAAGCAATCTAGTGATGTTCCGATAGACCTCCTCATGCTTAGAACTTCCCAGCAGATAGCTAGATTTGTAGATTTCCTGCAATCAGGAAGCAATCTAGTGATGTTCCCCAGAAGACAGAGAGAGAGAGAGAGAGAGAGAGAGAGAGGCAGACAGACAGAGACAGACATGTATATGCTTACAAACATATACAAACACATCATACACGGAGGAGAGAGATATGGAATTCTCTCATAAGACTTGGTGCTGGCAAGTCTAAAGCTAGATTTGTAGATTTCCTGCAATCAGGAAGCAATCTAGTGATGTTCCCCAGAAGACAGAGAGAGAGAGAGAGAGAGAGAGAGAGAGGCAGACAGACAGAGACAGACATGTATATGCTTACAAACATATACAAACACATCATACACGGAGGAGAGAGATATGGAATTCCCTCATAAGACTTGGTGCTGGCAAGTCTGTCGTAAGGCAGGATACTGGCTGGAAATTGTATCAGAATTAGTTTTGTAGTCTTGAAATAACTTGTACAGCAAGCCAGTTGATGGAACCAGGCAAGATGTCTTCAGTATTGATTTTGAGACCAAATTTCTTCTTCTTGGGGCTTGAGCTGAGTGGCCAACCACAAGATGAAGAGACACAACTGTAATGTGGGCACATCTGCAAATGCTTTTCCAGCAACATCTAGACTAGTGTTTGAATGATAGGACACCAGTAGCCTAGCCAGCCTGAAACATGAAGTTGCCTGTCACAGAGATCAAAAGAAGGAACTATGCAGGCAGAAAACCTCATAAGTTATTGTAAACATCCTCAGAGGGATAAGCTAGTATAACTACAGCACACAAAACCAGAACCGGTATCATGTCAACTGAAAGGGGGGAATGCTTCAATGACCAAAAACGAGCTATCGGAAAAAGACAGTATAAATTAATGTCTCAAAAAACGTTTAAAACAAGAAAGTCCCTCTGAAAGTCAGCAAGCTAAAAGAATTTAATAATGAGCAGAGGTAAAGGAAGGGTAGAGTTCTGGGAAGGTCTAAACCTTGGATGCAAACAGTACAGTCCCACAAGCACAGAATAAGAAATCATCAATGAAAGAAGAAAGAAAATTTCCCCAAATTAAGGGACAAGAATTTCAAGACTGCAAGGACCTACTGAGCACCCAGTACCACTGGAAATAAACTCACACTACAGCACATCACTGCAGGATATCACAAAATTCTAAAAAGGGGAGCTTCCAAGATATTGGAGGAAAAAGAAAAAAAAAAAAAAAACCGCCCTATTGGAGGAAAAAGAAAAAAAAAAAAAAAACCGCTCGGGTCACCTGCAAATTTCAGAATTTCAGAGGACAAAATGGCTGGCTTTCTCCAAAGCAGCACTCAAGGAGCCAGTTGGATCTCCCAATGTGACCTACGTTTCAATGAGGTGCAAGGTTTTAACTCTGCAAATTCTCATAAAATCCACCTCCTCTAATCCTCCCTGTGGGATGCTCCTGTAGAAAATCCCCTAATGGAAGACAGTAATGAAGAGTGAGATAGTCAGGTGAATCCAGAAACTGGGCTTCAACACCAGTCACCCAAGAGTGGGATAGAAGATCCACTGTTCGAGGTGGAGCCCCCAGAGGCCCAAGCAGAGTGGAAACACAAGCCACCACGTGGAGCTTAACACAGGGTGGCACAGTTGGTGAAAACCCAGAGCTGAATTCAAATAAGTATTCAGAAAGAGAGCGATCCCAAGCACAGGGTCATCTTTTATTTTGGGATTTTTTTTTAGGACAAAAACAGGCAAGAAAATAAAAATCATAATTCACTAGATGACTTAGCTGCAAATAGCAAGTCATAGTTATAGTAATGTAAACACTTTATAACTCACATTAAAATAGCACAACATACTGGGAAACTGGACCATCAGGTGTCCCTCTGCAGTGAAACTGATGCTTTGAAATAAAAGATACAGTGGAAAGACTAACACTGAGTGATCACAAAATATCAGAGTTCCACAAAGAATGCATTAAAACACTAACGGGAACGCCCAGGTGTTTCTGAGGAAGTGCGAATGTTCCGTTTTATAAAGTGAAATTCATAGGACAATCTTTACTACATGCAAGTCTAACGGATAACAACAAAAACCTTAGCTTTATTTAAAAGGAGGAAAAGAATATCCCTCCCACATCTGAGATGTGGCAATGCTCTAAGAAACCTTCCTCATTCGATAATGTTTTCTGTAGTGCAGAGCTCAGTGCCTATTTCTGCATGATGGGTTCATGAGTAGAATGTGAAAGACGTGCAAATGTGCCTGCAATGGGGAGTGTGAAGGGTTGGGCTTGAGCCTCCGTTGGTTAGCCTAGCCTTCCTCAGAACTCAGGAGTGGGAGGTACGTGTGTGGAAGGAGGGATCCTGGCATCAGCGCAGGGCGTCTCCCTCCGGAACTGTCTCCTCAGTTGCGGTGGCAGCATGATACAGCACGGACATGCCCTCACCATCCAGTCTGCTCTTAGGCTCTGCCTGAGGACCCTTTTCACTACCACTAGCATTTTTGTGTGTGTTTAATTAGGTGAACTTCTGCGGAGTAGCGAGGAATCTAAACTGCAACTTGGTATTTTTGTGGCAAATAAGTTCCACTTAACCAATGTGCTAATCATTTTTGAGTTCGGGCATTGCTTAAGATAACGAGTCCACTGGGAGTTGAGAGGATCTGTCACAGCTGAGTCCAAGGACTCTGAGCATCCCTGGCTCATGAGGCCCTCTGTTTCCCCAGGCTATCAGTGTACCTGCCTCTCACAGTTCACGGGAAGAAACTGTGAATCCGAGATCACAGCCTGCTTCCCAAACCCCTGCCGGAATGGAGGATCCTGCGACCCCATAGGAAACACCTTCATCTGCAGCTGTAAAGCTGGGCTCACTGGTGTCACGTAAGTGAGGTTTTTCCAGAGTCTTTCTGTGCTGTTTCTTGTCCTAAGAAAACAAACCAGTATGCAATTAATCAAAATACACCACTGGTAACATCTCTCCCACGCAGAGTGCTTATGAGGGCTGGGAAGATGGCTTAGAGGGCAAACTGACTGCAGTGTAAACACGTGGACCTGAGTTCAGATCCCCTGCATCCATGTTAAACTCGCACAAACTTGTAATCCTAAGGCTCAGGAGGAAGAGACAGGGCAATCCCTGGGGCTAATTGGCCAGCTGCCTATCTGAACTGGTGAGCTTCATGTTTAGTGAGAGACTCTATCAGAAAAAATAAAGATGGGGCCAGGCATGGTAACACACGTTTAGTCCCAGGCTGAGGCAGACAGATGTCTGTGAGTTTGAGACCAGCCTGGCCTACGTGGAAAGCAATGGAGGATAATGCCTGGCATCAACCTCTGGTTTCCACAGTCATGTACACATCCACACTAACAAGCACATACACCACACACAAAACACTGTATACAGTGTTAGTAGGGAACAGCTCTAAGTTTATGTGAATATTTTACTTTACGCTTCTCTGGGTTTTCAAGCTTATACAGTCCCTCTGTATTCTGTGATGTAGAAGATAAGTTTTTTTATTATTATGCCCATGGCCACCTAAATTTTCGAGAATAATTCTGAGGCACATAGAACACCCGTTTCCCCAGAACCCGACACCTGGACTCTACCGCCCAGCACTTAATGACTGTTCTGAGAAACTGAACCTTTCCTTTTCTTTGAAAACTTTCTTTCCCTCCAGGAAATGAGTGAAATTCAAGTGTCATCCAAGTGGGAGGAGAACACTCTCCTAGTAAAAGGCCACCTCCAGCCATCCTTGCTCCTCTCAGAAGTATATACTTGTAACCTGGAGCAGTTGATATTCTAATTACACACGAGCCTAGTATATTCATTAGAGCAAATCTCTGAGGACTCTACCAAGAAATGCTTAGCCGCTGCTGAATCACTGGGTGTAATTTAAAGTAATAAAGTCGCATTTATTTTTAAATACTCTGTGATTGTAGCTAATTTCTGGCTGACCTGGTCCCAATCTGCTCAACTTAGGGGCATTCTGACTATTTTAAAAGGTGGATTGCCCAAACTATAGGTGATTGGACTTTGCAGTGAACAACAACCTTTCAGAACAATTACTGAAGTAGAGAAACTTGAAGAGGAGAAGGTCTATCTGTGTTCGGGGTGTTAGAGTGAAAAAGAATTGCACTTAAAAGCCTGCCTGTGGAGCTCGGTGCTTGGGAGCATGTGCTGCTCCTTCAGAGCACCTGTATGCAGTTGCCAGCACCCATGTAGGGCAGCTCACAACCACTTGTAACTCAGCCTCCAGAGGTCCCAATACCTGTCCTGGCCTCCTCAGCCACCTTGCACAAAGGTAACACACAGACAGACACATATACATAAGTAGAAATAAAAAGTAATTTTAAAAGCCTGCCTGGTAGTTACATTCAACTGAGTCATGGATTGCTTTGCAGAGAGTAAAACTGATTCATTTGCTCTTTAGAACAGGTTAGGGATCTTTTCCTGTTAATTATGATTATGATGATTAAAGCCTTAGCCTGTGTGGTAAACTTAGAACCCGGAAGCAATGGAGCCCTCCACACAACCACCTGCCTTGCAGCCCCAGTTTTCTGGATGAGCCACAGCTACTTCTATCATTAGAAGACAATGTCAACCCCACACTTTCCTCTTGAGAATCTTTATAAGGGATGCATGGATTCATGGCTGCTTGTGTGCAGTCCTATGATCTCAGAGAGTCAGAGAGCAAGGATTGTTTGGGAGTGTTTGTGGCAAACTTATGGTGGTAAACAATGTCCAGAAATGCTCCGAGGTGCCTCCTGCTCTGCTTCTCACTTAGTGTGACCATCCATGATTCCCTGTTCAGAAACATTTGTGTTTGATGATGAGGTCCTATGTCAGTACTGTTGGGGGCAGGCAGAAGTATTTTAAATAATGTGAGAGATACATACTATATTCAGTTTCTAAAACTGCACAGCTTTAAATGCCAAGGTGCACCTGGCAGGGAGTTTTGGGAGAGGCTACCTTTTCTGTGCCCTCTGACCCTTCTCTTTCTGCTCCCTGCCAGCAATTCCCTCTGCAAGCCCCTTGATGCAGACCTGGGAGGGAACACCTTCATGCTGATGACCAGGGGCACAGTGGGCACAGAATGCCTGGCTTCACTCCTATGTACATGCACACAAACACATGCAGACAGATGCATATGCACATATACACATGCATAAATGCACACACATACACACATACACTAATGCATATATGCACATGCACACACAATGCATGAATGCACACATGCACACACATACATGCATGTATACACACATGCACATACACTAATGCATATGCACACACAATATATGTATGCACATATGCACGCACATGCACACACAATGCATGAATGCACACATGCACACACACATGCATGTATACATGCGTGCACATACAGTTGTGCATATATGCACACACGTACACACAATGTGTATATACACACCCATGCTTATATGCACGCATGCACATACACTAATGCATGTATGCACACACTTATGCACACACAATGCCTATATGCACACACATGCACACACAATGCATATATACGCACACGCGCACACACACATACTTTTGCCATGGGGCGCTGCACCCTTTAGGGGCTTCTGTTTTCAAGCTGATCTTTTGTCTGAGCTCTGGCACAGGGGTCCTGATGTTGGGATGGTTCTGTGTGCTGTGTTCCTAAAGGTGTGAGGAGGACGTGGACGAGTGCGCACAGGAGGAGTGTGAGAACGGAGGCTCCTGCATCAACATGTACGGCTCCTTCCTCTGCAACTGCACCCCGGGTTTCGTGGGCCAGTACTGCGGCCTGCGCCCCGTGGTGGTGCCCAACATCCAGGCCGGCCACTCGTACGTGGGCAAGGAGGAGCTGATCGGCATCGCTGTGGTCCTCTTCGTCATCTTCACCCTAGTCATCCTCTTCATCGTCTTCCGCAAGAAGGTCTTCCGCAAGAACTATTCCCGCAACAACATCACGCTGGTGCAGGACCCCGCCACCGCGGCGCTGCTGCGCAAGAGCAACGGCATCCCCTTCCGCAGCCTGCGCGCGGGCGACGGGCGCAACGTGTACCAGGAGGTGGGGCCCCCGCAGGTGCCCGTGCGCCCCATGGCCTACACGCCCTGCTTCCAGAGCGACTCCAGGAGCAACCTGGACAAGGGCCTGGACGCGCTGGGCAGCGAGCCCCAGGAGATGACCACGTTCCACCCGGAATCCCCGCGCATCCTGACAGCCAGGCGGGGCGTGGTGGTGTGCAGTGTGGCCCCCAACCTCCCCGCCGTGTCGCCCTGCCGCTCCGACTGTGACTCTATCCGGAAGAATGGCTGGGACACAGGATCTGAGAGTGAGTGCGGGGCTGGACTGGGAGGTGCACTGGGAACCAGAGGCCTTTGCGCCTGAGGCTCGCCCCTACCCAGAGAGGCCAAAAGGAGAGGGAAGCACAGCCACTCCAGGCCTTTCCCGCCTGTGTTGCACCCTCTTGATCACGGTCCTTGAGAGCAGAACTTGGTCGTGGCTAGGATGGGGCAGAGCTGTCGCTGCTTAGTCCCCCCATGTCTCTGTGGTCTTCTGCACAGGGTACTACTGGCTTCACACAAGCCCTGTGGCCACATAAGTGATGCACGGAAAACTCTGGAAGGTCAGAAGGAGCAAATAATTGAGGGCAGAGAAGCGTTTGTTAGACTTGAGTAGGGGAAAGGCTCAGGAGAAAGGAGGGCATTCCACTGAGTGACCACAAAATCAGGGTGTGGGGGGAGACTAAGCCCAGCACTCTGGGCTGAGGCCGGAAGGTCACTATTTCAAGGTGGCCAGCCTGAGCTACAAAGGAAGACCCTGTCTCAAAGAGAAAGGCAGGGGAGAGGAAGGAAAGGCCCACCCCTGAAGCAAGAGGGTGAAACACTGGCAGAAGTGGCCCAGCCAGGTGGCCTCCGTCCCTACCCTCTGGCCTCTTGCAGCAGGATCCTGGAGTCAGGGAGAGTTTCAGGGACAAAGGCCCCGGAGTGGGAAAGTGTTGGGTGTGCTGAGTGATACAGGAGGTCTCTGTGGCTGAGGCCGCTGAGCTACCGCAGAACAGAACGAGTGTTTAGCTTCCACCACGGTACAGGGTTTTAAGCAGGTAAGTGGCATGATCTAGTTAGTTTTAAAAGCCAGCTTTGACAGACCTAGGAAAAGACTGAACCGGTCTAGAGTGGAAGGAGAAGGCGACTAGGCATCCTCTGAGCTTCTCAGTTGAGGACAGAGAGAGACGAAGGCAAGCTCTGATGTCCCCTGACTTCATCACCCGCATAGCTGTGCCACGTGTTCGGGGTGGGGAGGAAGAGGCGTTTTGCAAATGGTCCTAGAGAGCATGTGCAGACAGGGACACAAGACTAGCCGTAGGAGACAAAGGGAGCATTCCTATGGAATCAGATATCTTTAGAAAACTCTTGGAGCAGCAGGATGAGAGTAGAGGATGCATGCCTCTGGGTGGTTCCTCCTGGTGCAAGATGACGGTTGGACATCATCTTCACGTGGCGTCCTTGATGGTGTAGGAGGCTTAGCTCACTGAGGAGCAAGAGGCAATAGATGGCCAGACCTCCAAAGAAGCTTGGAGGTGACTGCCTGGGGACAGACAGGACAGCAGGATGGGGCACACACTTCCCAGCAAACAGAGGAGGCAGAGGAATGGCATCATAGAGGCCAAGAGTGTCCGTAAGGTCCTTGCAGGGATGAAGCAACTTCCCAGGACGCATAACCAACAGAGGGAAGAGCCTGAGCACCAGGCTTCAGGCCTGTGTCCTGAGCAGCAATGCGCCTGGAAACTTGACAGGAAGGAGGCAGAGGGAAGTAAGAGGATGAGCATTTCCCCACCACAGAGGGATCTGAGAATGAGCATCTCCCCATCTGAGGGGGACCTGAGGATGAGCATCTCCCATCTGAGGGGGGACCTGAGGATGAGCATCTCCCATCTGAGGGGGGACCTGAGGATGAGCATCTCCCATCTGAGGGGGGACCTGAGGATGAGCATCTCCCATCTGAGGGGGGACCTGAGGATGAGCATCTCCCATCTGAGGGGGGACCTGAGGATGAGCATCTCCCATCTGAGGGGGGACCTGAGGATGAGCATCTCCCATCTGAGGGGGGACCTGAGGATGAGCATCTCCCATCTGAGGGGGGACCTGAGGATGAGCATCTCCCATCTGAGGGGGGACCTGAGGATGAGCATCTCCCATCCTCCTTTATGGGGGGAACAGTGATTTCTGGGGCTACAAAGAAGAGCAACTGCTCCCTTAATCCAGAGTCTGTGTTTTTGAACACTCTGGCTCCATGACGACTTGCAGTGTTTCCTGAAGATAATTTCCATCCCTGCCTCATGATGGGAAAGCTTTGCTTCCAGAATCTACCTCAAGCCAAACTCACGTTTTCCCCCAAAGTATTGCTGGGTTTTACAGCCCACATTTCCCTTTTGTTAAGCAAGGCAGAGTTAGCACACAAGATAATCTCTGGACAGATAATTCATTTTGCACTTGACCACCTCAAGATGTGGACCGTTTTTATTTCCTACTGTAATCCATCAAAGTAAGAAGTGCAGGGTGTGTGTGCGCATGTGTGTAGGTATGTATGACCGTGTGTATGCATGTGTGTATGAGTATGTATGCCTGTATGTGTATTCATGTGTATATAGACATATATACCTATGTTTGTATAGGTATGTATGCCTATATGTGTATGTATATGTGTGTAGGAGTATGTATGTGTGTACAGGTATTATGCCTGTGTATGTATGTATGTGTATATGCATGCATGTGTGTGTATGTGTTCTGTGTATGTATATAGATGTGTGTGTGTGTTTGTGTGTGTGTCCTGCCTGTTTTCTACAGTATGAAAGGAGAAACATGTTACTAAGGCTGGCTATCCTCATACCAGACACAGGCCAGGGACCGCATCAACCCCCAAATGGGGCACCACTGCCCTCTAGAAGGCAGACCTGAAAATTCCACTCTCTTCCCAGAGATGGAAACCCAGAAAAATGTAATGGTATTCTTGCCTATGAAATATTTATGCCCCTGTTTTAAAGGTAATCTCCTTTAAGCTGGTGTTGACACCACAACAGTTCATGTAAATGATGTAAATCAAGTCTGAATGGCAAAGAACAGCACCTACACCCCACCCCCATTCCACACTGCCCCCATCACCTCTCTTTGAGGAGGGAACAGCTACGTTCACTGACAGCTATTTGGAAGCTCATTTACCATGGGTTAAGGGTTTCAAATCCATAATGTAAATCACTTGATTGACAGACCTTTGCTCCCGATGGCACAATCCATTTTCCATTGTGCGGATGACTTGTTTTCTTGAAGCAAATGAAAGAACCCCAAGAAAAAGAGGTGGGGGCGGGCAAGGCTGAAAGATTGCACAAGGTAATTTTTCGCGTCTGCTTTCTCCACGCCTGTTCCTGAAGGCAAAGGGGCCGATGACCCAGGAGACGTGACCTGCTTCACAGGCAGCAACAAAGGCAGCAACTCCGAAGTTCAGTCCCTCAGCTCCTTCCAGTCCGATTCTGGCGACGACAACGGTGAGGACTTCTCCTGCCCGTACATGGCGTCCTGCACCGGGCTCTGCTTCCCATGCCGGACACGGCTCCTAAGGCCCAGGGGACACGACTGGCATTGTTTCTTGACCTGCTTGTCAGCCTCTGAACGTATTCACCCACTGTCCAGAGTCACTGCCTGAGGAGCTCCTACTGGGCCTCAGACCTAAGCAGGATCTGCATCAGGGGTCAGGGCTGACAACCTTCCCAGGACCTGTAGGCGTGAGTTCTCTTGGACTTGATCATGATAGAGCTGCCACATCCCAGTGACACCTGGATTATGACACCTTTTCAGTTTCCCTTACAATCTCTTCATCTATGCTGTGCGCTCATCCACCTCATCGTTAGACATGAGTGTGGAAGCAGCAGTGTCTCTGTTGAACTGTGTCTTCTAATCACTTGCAGTCACAGGCTTTGGAGAATTGGTTGAAAAATGTGAAGCAGCTCCTCAGAAAGTGTCTGCTGCTCAGAATACGGCTCATAGACCATTTTGATAACTCCACATCTGGAGCCTCCAATGCCTGGGAACCTGTGCTCAGGGAGAGGCAGCTAAAGACCAGAGAGGATGTTGTAGAACAGCAAGTGCTTGTCATGCAGTGCTAAACCAAGAATCGTTTCAAATAACCATCCAGAGGCAGAAGGTGCTTAACTGACACCTTAGGCCGCTTTTCCCATTTACCAGCAGTTGGCAAAAAAATGGACACAGTAATTTATGTAATCTTTCAGCACATGAACCCTCCTGAGCCCTATGTGCTAAGTCCTCAGCTGGGTGTTTTGTACACAGAAATGCAGAATGAAAATATCAGAATAGCAGAGTCCTGGCCTCTGAGGCACACACTGGGACAGGTGAGCCCTAGAGAGCAGACATTGGATTACTGCAGGTCACTTTCTCACACACCCCAGATCTCTGCTGGCCCCACCACTGGCCACTCCTGGAGTTTGGGGACTGGGGAGATGGCTCACCGAGGTGGCTCGGTGAGCATACTTGCTCTGCAAACAGGACGACCTGAGAGTGAATGCCCAGCACCTACATAAAAAACCTGGGCCTATAACCCTGAATGTGCCTATAACCCCAGCACTGGGGGGTCGGGGGGAGACAGGTGGATCCTGAGCACTTAGTGGTGGGCCAGCCTAGCCCACATGGTAAGCTTCCAGTTCATGAGACCCTGTCAATGTAGGGCAGAGTGTAATAGAGGAAAATGTCCAGATACCCTGCTCTGGTCTCCACATGAGCTTGCACAAACCATGCATCTGCACACATGTGAATATACTGCAGGGGAGGGGAGGGAAGGGGAGGGGAGGGCAGGGGAGGAGAGGAAAGAGAGAGAGCTGGCGTATTCATCCCTGGGATAAGAATCCAGCCAGTCTCAGGTCAAGGGCATAGGCTGATGGACACAACCTCTTCTCTTCACCTCCAGCTAGAAGGGCAACTCCAGCTACTTTGCGTTTTATGGCGTACATGGAAAACATAGAATTTCCAAAGTGGGACATAAGGGTCAGCCATGGCACCTGGCTGAGGATGTTCATAGTCTCATGCACCTGTCTTTCATGGTCCACGTTAGAGACTGGCAGGTGGTGATGGTCCTTCCATCAGTGATCCATCAGCTGCTGAGACAATCCCAACAGGCCAGAGACCTCCTTCATACTGTGTTTTCAAATACAGTAACTGACCACCATCTAAGCCTCGCCAGCAGGAGCTGGGTGCTGGGCTTATCTGGGCCATCATGTGAAGCCATGAGACCTTCAAGGCTTCAAAGGCCACTTTTCATCACTGGCTTTGGGTTCATAACATTATACCAACAAGTAGCTGGCCCTGGGAACAGTGAGTGAGGTCGTCCTCGGGTTGCTAATGAGAAATCCTTGCGCCCCACAAGCCACCATCTCCCTGGATTGATGTGACAGGCGAAGGGTGTGTGTGAGTGAAGTGATGCTTCAGAAATCCCAGGCAGTCACACCTTTCGGGAGCACTACCTCCAAATTTGACAGTTTCTCTTCTGCCCCTCCAATCCGTGGGACCCTATCAATAAGTGACCCTGCTGCCCACCCTGAGGGACAGACTGTGGGAAGACTTTGGGTGTCTGTGTGTTACATCTTCACAATTGTTAGATGTTAATTAGATGTTAATGTGTTTGAAATACATAACTAACTGAAGCTGTCCTTCCCTCCCTCCTGTCTTCTTCTCTGCCAAAAGCGTCCATAGTGACTGTCATTCAGCTTGTCAACAATGTGGTTGATACCATAGAGAGTGAAGGTACCTACACTTCTTTTCCTTTGTAGCATGCCTGTGTTTAAAGAGCTTCCCTTCTAGAACGCTGACTTCTCCAGTACCGCTACCAGGGCTGACTTTAATCAACTCAGGGTACCATATATTGGTGGTTTCAAACAAGACGCTGGGTTTGGGGATTTAGCTTGATGGTAGCACGTTTGCCTACCAAGCCTACAGCCCTGGGTTTTGTTCCTCACACCAGGGAAAAAAAAATCAAAGAAGATGCTGGATGCATTTCTGTGAATTGTAATAAACTTAACAATTTTTAAAAATCTAGTTCACAGTTTAAAAAACTCTATACATAGTCATATAAAATCTCTTTGAAGTAAAAAGTAGTTGTAATCCAGGTCAGTAGGCTAATATTAAATTCATTCTATCATTCACTAAATGCCTACTGTGAGCTAGGGACATACAATCATCAGACGATATAGCACTATGGGATTAATTTCCATAGGTAACTTAGTGCTGTGATAAAATTATGGCACAGCAATGCAGACTGGATGTGTGTCTTCATTCCTAAGTAACGATAGGGACAGATCTCTAGAGGGCTGCATTCAGTCCTAGCCCATGGTTCTCGGGAGTACCTTTAAGTCTTCTGAAACATCTGTTTTGTCTCCGTGTGGCCTGGATAGTCCAGTTCACTTCTCACTTTGTATTTGAACAGTGTCTGTCATGGATCAAGGACAGAGCTACAACCGAGGTGACTGTGCCACCACCCAGGACAGCAGCTCACGCCTGCATTTTGCGTTGCTGAGCTCATTCCTGCCCTGCCCTTCTCTCCTCGCTCTGAGCCTCCGCCGTCCCTGTTTTGCATGTCGCAGGTGTCTGGTGTGCTTGGCTCCCCGAGTGCCCCTCTCCCAGCCTCATTCCTGCTTGTGGAATTCACCCATTTGCCTGCATGGCCCCTTGACTTCTGCGGTCCACAGTACACGGGGTGCATCTCTCCACCGGCATGCTGGCAGCCTGGCTCTGTGCACAGCGTTCAGATAGGAAGAGGGCGTAGGGTGGAGGAGATCAGGGTTCCTAAGCCTGTGTGCCCTCAACATGCCCTCACTGGTCAGCTCTCAGGCCCGGGGAGTGTTGTGTGCACCCTCTCTCAGTGGCTGACCTTGTTCTTTCCAGGCCGGAGCATGGCTGGTCCTAATGGGCCCTTGTAAGAAGCATGCATGTGGCCTTGGCTCTTAGCATCTCCTGGACACTAAGAACTGCATGGCAGACTATCCCTGCTCCTCGCCCTGCCTGATCTCCGGTCTGGGGGAAGTTAACTGTCTGACTTTCCTCTCGCAGCCTATCACTGGGATACCTCCGACTGGATGCCAGGCGCACGGCTGTCAGACATTGAGGAAGTGCCGGCCTATGAGAGCCAGGACGGAGGGTCCACACACCAAGGCGGCACGCGCGAGCTGGAGAGTGATTACTACCTAGGCGGTTACGACATTGACAGTGAATACCCACCACCTCACGAAGAAGAGTTCCTGAGCCAGGACCAGCTGCCCCCACCCCTGCCCGAGGACTTCCTGGACCAGTATGAGGCCCCGCCTCCCTCCCAGCCCGTCTCACTGGGGGGCACCCTGAGCCCAGACTGCAGGAGGCGGCCCGGGTTTCATCCTAGCCAGTACCTCCCTCCTCACTCACTTCCCAATGAAACGGATTTGGGGGCCCCACCCTCCGGCTGTGACTTTAGTACTTTTGCAGTAAGCATGAACCAGGGCACAGAGGTCATGGGCCCAGCAGATAGTGTGTCTCTGTCCTTGCACAATTCCAGGGGCACCGCATCCTCGGATGGGTCAGCCCGTTGTGGCTTTGATTCCGAGGTAGCGATGAGTGACTACGAGAGCACGGGCGAGCTCAGCCTCACCAACCTTCACATTCCATTAGTGGAGGCGCAGCACCAGACGCAGGTGTAAGGACACCCACCCCGCTGTGCCCTGGCAGTTACAGAGTGTGGAAGGAGATGGGCCGCTGTGTCTCGATGGAGAGGCGCCCCAGGACACGTGGCTTTTCCATGAGGAACTCCTTTGGCAGTCTTTTCTGTCTCAGGCTTGACTCCCTGGGTGATCGAAAGGCTCAGAAATTGTTTCTGAGAGGGGACTGGTAATGCTTGCTGTGGGTACCTGTGCTCGTGGCTAGGAATACAAGGAAATGAAGAGTTTATTAACTCAAGCAGCAGATCGTGAATGGTTTTGTGCATTACTGTGCCCTGGAAACATGACCCTTTTGGTATTACAAATGCAGCAGCAATGGATTTTGTTATCACATGATTTTGAGCCAGCACATGGAAAGCGCAGTGTGGCTGGGAAGTTCGAGTTCTCGGTGGAAGGAGGCGAGGTAGAAATCTTAGAAGATAGGCCGAAGCCTTTAAAATCAACTCTGTTTTTTAAGTATGCTGCCCTACCGTCAGCTATAAAATTAGGTTTGAGTATTGTTTAGTATGCTCAGATTTTTTTTTTTTCTTGTGTTAAAGCATCCAATATAGCCGGGGTTTGTGATCTCCAAGAAAGTGGTGAAAGGAAAGCAATAAGCGGTTGTCGGGCTCTAGTGGGTGGGTTGAGGAGGCTAATGTTCAAACAGGGAAACAGTGTGCTTATCTTGTTTTGTGTCTCCTGGCAAATATTCCTGGCCATATTTCCAAGTCTAACATTGCTGCAAAACTGGTCTCTGTTTGCACATTGCAGTCCAGAATGAGAGGTGTTTGAAAGGCTAAGTAGAATTCACAAATTCGGGAAGGAGGATAGGGTGCTTGCAAAGATTTCAGCCTAGATAATCACAGCTCTTCACAATGCAGGTAAAAGGCACGTGTGTTATTCTAAATTGGTAACGTTAGCATTATAAATACACTTGTGTTTCTCAAAACAAGAAGAAAGTAGGGTGGGAACCGTGCATAAACTAAACATTGTGTGGGGGCTATGTGTAGCTCTGGGCTTGCACTCCGTAAAGCTGCTCTTGAGGAAACCTGCCCAGAGGGGTTTAGGGTACTGACCATGTTGGAAATATTGGAGCAGGCACAGCTCACCTCCAGTTTCTCTGATCTCTGTGATGTTACAGGAACACCAAATGCCATATTTTACTCCAATTAGTTAACCTTGTTTTGGTACTGCCACTTGAAGCAAGTGCTGGAATTTCTTTCTTAAAAAGCAACAGTATTTTATAATTTTCCAAAACTAACTTCTATCTGAAAAATCGTGTACACTTGGGGTTTTCCTCCGATCTGAAACGTGGGCTTTGACCATTGTTTTCCAAACTTGACAGAGGTTTCAGCCCACTGGGAATATAGTAACCCAACATGCGAGAGTCAAAGGTGGCGATGGAGCTTCTTCCCGTTTGCTTCCATCAGCCATGCCACAGCTGACGTGACCATGGGAAATAAATGCACATTTGCACATCTGCCTCTTGAGCAAATCCATGTGTCAACACTTCCTGGTGACATTAGCATTGGTGTGTAAATAGTCCTGTCCTGAGTCTTCATGCCATCTTCTCAGGTGTATTTTTAAGATGTTTCAAGAATCTTTAATTACTTCTTTGTAGGAAACAGTGTTTATGAATGTCTGTCATTTAAACCAAAAATACCTTTTCATCCCAAATATTCGCAACAGTCACAAAGGAGATGACAACTAATGGTCCAGAACTGAATCACTGCCTCACTTTTAATAATGCAATGGCATAAAACCACCACAATAAAACCAACAATTCATCCCTTGCCCCCAGGAAATACTAGAATAAGATTCATGCGATGAGCCAGTAGAGCTAACCCAGCATCTCTTCCAGGGAATGCCTGGCTGGCACCGGAATGAAGCCTTAAATAGATTTGCACACAGTTGGGAAGTCACGGAAGAAATTCCTACCCACCTCTGACCTATATAAAATACCTCTTTCTTCAGGACATCAACCCCCTAATTTTCTACAGAATAGCTCGCTAGCTAAATATATACCAGGAAATTGTCTTTTCTATTTTGTTCATTATCTGTAAACATGTGGTATTTCTTTCCCTCTCCCTTTAAAAAAAAAAAAAACAAAAGCAGATTTCCCTATAGATTACAAAATGGTTTGCAGTCAGGACAAGATGGGACTAAGTGGGATGAGCACAGTTTTAAAGAGCTGGAAGGGTCCTTAAGATTTCAAAGTCTAGGGTAGAGAGATGGCTCAGGGTTTAAGAGCACTGCCTGCTCTTGCAGAGGACCCAGGTTTGAATCCCAGTACCCACATGGTGGCTGACAACAGTCCATTAACTCCAGTTCTGGGGGACCTGACACTCTCTTCTGACCTCCATGGGCATTGCATAACACAGGTGCATAGCCCTACATGTAGGCAAAACACTCATACAAATTAATTGACTAATTAATGAATTAATTAATTTAAAAAAGATTTCCAAGTCCAACCTCCATATTTTATAAAGGAGGGAACATGCCCAGAGAGGGGAAGAGCCTTGCCCAGCTTGTACAGAAGTTAAATAACTGACCCAGCATTCAGCCACCCCCTCCCCTGTAACACTGCCCCTGTTAAATTGCCTTCATAAAGGCAGCTCATTTCCTGTGGGCCTCTGAATCCCCACCTTCATTGAAATATGCAAGAAAACAAAGTGGATAGAGACCATTTCTCTGTGCATCTCATGACCTTGTTATGCCCCACGCCCCAGGAAGCACAGGTCCTTCCAGAATTCATGTTTCTTTGGATAGTCATTAAAATGCTGCTTTTGCCAAATGAATGTTTCTGGAATGGGGATGGGATGAGCACAGACTTGTCTCAGCCCAGTCATGGCATGTACTGTGACTCACTAGGTATGTTTTGTGGTTCCGATTTCCCGCAACTGTTCCTGTCCCTTCCACCTCGAGGAATACATGGAAAATATTCACAGTTGTAAGTGTCTTTCCATCTGTTTGCACATACATCACGCATGCTCTGGTTAGACTGAGAATAGTTCAACTCTTGGTCTTTGTTGTCCTTACAAGCAGGAGCTGTGGGGTAGTAGAGAGTCAAGTGCTTCATTGGCCTCTTCCCATCCCCACCTCCTTTTGCATCCCTGGACAGCACAGCCACCAGCTTCCTGGGGCCAGCATCATTCCTGGGCTCTGGTCCTAGGCCAGCCCAACTCCCTAATTCCTGAGGCCAGCATCTTTCCTGGAGGGATCCAGACCTTAGGAAAAAGTCTGAGAGCATCTGTGACCTGGAGGATGTTCCTCTGACCCTGTGATGACAAGCCATGGACCTGCCTCCTTCCCACGCTCTTCAAAGAAGCCACTCCCCTTCCCTCTTCCAGCCAATTGGTTGACTATAGCCGCTTGCAGGGGAGGGGCTAAGGGTATAAAAGTTGGGAAAACCATAAGGCTGGTCTCTCACCATTTTGTAAGGCTGTCTGGAACCACAGGATTTATGTCTGGGTGTGGACTTTTAAACACAGCCGTGAATGGGGGGGGGGGGGGGGGGGGGGGGTTGCTGCTGAGCTCCATTCGCACCTGCCTTCTGTGTACCTGCCCTTGCCACTCACAAAATGCCATGGAAAAGTCTTAGCAATATAAGTAGGTCAAGGCCATAACCTTCAGGTTCAAGCCTTCAGAGTCCTGGGAAAGCCTGGTCAGGGAATTCACTCTGGGATTTATCTGGAACTGCCCTTAGAAATCATTGGTCTAGTTCAGAAAGAATGAAAATAAGATATGGCTCCCACTGGTCTTCTCCTGCTGACTCCCAGACAGGGTGCTGTGTCTGCACCACTGAAGTCAGGAGGACCAACAGAGAGAGAGAGAGAGAGAGAGAGAAAGAGAGAAAGAGAGAGAAAGAGGGGGAGAGAGAGAGGAGAATAGAGAATCAAAATAAACCATTGGAGACCTAGAACACACTTGTAGATGCAATAATTCAGGAAGGTCTACTGTTGTTTTGTTCGCTTGCATGGGTTGCTGGGTAATTGTCTGGACTCCTCGTTTGGCTGCACAGCCCCAGCTCACGTGGTCAGGCATGGGTCTTCCAAGCTTTGTATGACCTGGGGCTTCCGGGGGACATCCCCTCACTGCCATCATTCCCTGTGGCTCACGAGGAGGCACATGTTCTCCTTAGTCTGTGTCCTGCACCTTCCACTGCACATCTGCTGATTCAGACCCACCTCTTTGAGCTTCAGGTTGCATGACACAGAGTTTAAAGTCGCCATGCGTGGGTTTGACATCAGTGAATATTTAGCCATCTTACTGGCTAAGAAAGGAAAAGAATAAGATATTTCTTTCCTTCTGTAACAATGAAAAGCAATAATTACAAGTATGTGACAAGACACAAAGGCCATAATTAGTCTCGTCCAGTGTTTAGAGTGCACTAGAGAATCCTGTAGTCATTTGGAATGTGTTGGACCCATTACTATGTCCTGTAGCATCCACCAGACAACTCCTGAATTGCTATTTACAATTTTATGAGCCCATACTACTGCATTTCTGGAGTGGCAGATGCATTTGGAAATGGAAGCAGTTCTTTCAAAGCACTGTACCAGAGACCGTTGTACATTTGCCTGTTGTAAACAGGCTGGTTTGTAAAAGATGTATGTTTTGGTGTTTAAAATGTTTATAAAATTGTATATAGATGATTTCACTTTTCCAGGCATTTGTAGATACTGTAGTGGATGCCTACCAGGATGCTTTAATTTGGAGGGTCAAATCGAATTCCACGCTATTGTTCTGCAAACTTTTGAGGGAACCACTCACTAAAAGAAGACTTTAGATTTGAAAACAACGTTTCTATTGTTCATTTTAAAATGTGACTTTCCTTTGGCTCTATTGTTTTCATTTAATTCAATTTTAAGAAATGCTTCTAAATGTTAACTTTTTTGCAAAATGAATGTGTTCTGCCCAGTCACTAGGCCCCTGGCTTTCACAGCTTTTCGAGTCAGAGTGAGCTGTCATTCCCTCACACACGCACACTCACCTCACTGTCACATCACAACCAAACCTTATGCAAAGGGGAAAGAAGACATGGACATGAGTCTTGTCCCTTATGGAAATGGATTGTTTCTGCACATCTCGTTGGCAGTATTCAGTCTTGTCTTCTTTTTCTTAAAAAAAAAAGGAAGAAAGAAAAAAGAAAAAAAATGTAAGAAAAACAAAATGAAAAAAACAATTACATAAAAAATTGTAACCAAAAATTAAAATAAGAAACCATCCCCAACAGTGTACAGGTTTGTAACTGCCAAATTTGATCATTAAAACAAGTTTTCAAGTAAAAAGAAAAAAAGACGAAACTATTGTGTTGACTCCTTTTTAAGTGTTTCCTTACACTCTTCTGGTGAACTGCTCACTTAGCCTTCAGGAGGGTGTGTTCTACAGGGCATGATGGGAAGCCCAAGCCCAGCCCTCCAGCCTCCCAGCCCCATCCACCCAGCAAAGAGGGGTCACTGGTCTGAAGGGGTGTTTTGAAATTTTTTGTATTCATATAGCCTGTTTTTTTCTCTCACAAACTTTTTATCTCTTCTTCTGGCCCATATGGTGAAATTGTGTGTAGCTTCTTGCTGGGTACGTAGTCTGTTGGGTTTTGTCTGAAGAGAGAGTGTAAGAGGCTGGGCCACAAAGGAGACTCAGCGCCACCCCTGCTGAAATCTAAGTGTGACCCCAGCTCTCCAGAGCATGAGCCCCACTGCTTCCTCCTCTCGAAAACAAAATTCTTTTCAAAAGTTTGGAGCACAACTCATACTAGAGTTTTCTTCTAAACCTCCAGGAATTTTTCTATGTCAAGTGAAGGTTAACGTATATGGGGGCCTCAAAGGCTGATCGAGGAGGTGATTTCACAGGCAGTATATGGGGGGGCCTCAAAGGCTGATCGAGGAGGTGATTTCACAGGCAGTATATGGGGGGGCCTCAAAGGCTGATCGAGGAGGTGATTTCACAGGCAGTATATGGGGGGGCCTCAAAGGCTGATCGAGGAGGTGATTTCACAGGCAGTATATGGGGGGGCCTCAAAGGCTGATCGAGGAGGTGATTTCACAGGCAGTATATGGGGGGGCCTCAAAGGCTGATCGAGGAGGTGATTTCACAGGCAGTATATGGGGGGGCCTCAAAGGCTGATCGAGGAGGTGATTTCACAGGCAGTATATGGGGGGGCCTCAAAGGTTAATCGAGGAGGTGATTTCACAAGCAGCTGTTCTGACACCTGGAGGGTTCTGAAGAGTGCAGTCCTGTGCCTCACTTCGGTGAGGGTAAGCCAGGGCCAGGGGCCAGGGAGGGGGGGGTCTGAGCACCAGCAGGACAAGACCTCCAGGCTCCCGTCAGAACAGGCTTGTTTTCACAGCCGCAGAGCCCCACCTGCCAGACACTGACCAAGATACCCAAGCTGTGGAACCCTTACTCCACAGGAAATGCTATAGCAGAGATCCACGCCTCTTCCTACTAGAAGTCCTGGAATTCCAGAGCTTACCTGTGGCAGAGCAATCCCAGGTGACCAGTCTATCCTCCTGCAACCAGCAGCTAAGGTTTAACAGCTGGGTGGAGGAGGGAGCCCAACTTACAACTTCACCAGTTTCTTTGGTATGAACGCTGTTGTGGCTGACAAGGGACAGGAGGGCTGGGGTCACTTCCATATTCTTCATTATAAAACCCTGTATTCCAGATATAAAAAGGAATCAGCACATACATGTTATTGCTGCTTTAGCATGTGCACACCGTTATTCATCTATTTGTTGTCAGGTAACACCTCCCAGCCCAGGTGACCCTGAAGGTATACAAAGTTGGTACCAACAGAAACTACCTTGACTCTGCTTCAAGAAGTGCCTGAATCCAGATGTTCACAGAACGAGGGAAGAGGTCAAGGGATGATGTGCCAGAGAGGCACAGATACCACAAGTCTCAGAACCAGGGCTGATCCCCTGAGCAGGGCGGTGAGACTGGGCTCTGGATAACAGACTGCTCTATTTGCTTCTCCCTGTCCTGTAGAGTCAGTTGGTTGGACACAAGATGGAAGGCTGTCCTTGGAGTTCCAATCTGCAGCCATTTCAGACTGTTGGCTCTGAATAATGATATACAACTTAAAAGCTCAACTCCTGTCTCCACTCACTGGCCTCTGTGTAACCATTCATTACTCCTGTTATAATTTCAAGTTGCCAGGCAGTGGAAATGGTTCAACAGATTCCTAGGAGTCCAGCTGTGGCTCTCACAAGCCAGTGTGAACGTACTGGACACCATGGGCTCCTCCACAGCATGAGCCGCCTGCAGCAGCCGCGGTAACTC